GTAGGGGGGGGGGGGGGGTCAGGGCCCGGAGAGGCCCCCCCTTTCTGTAGGGGGGGGGGTCAGGGCCCGGAGAGGCCCCCCCTTTCTGTAGGGGGGGGGGGTCAGGGCCCGGAGAGGCTGCGCGGTAAAACGTTCCCTGAGGAGCAGTGAAGTGCAGTCACTAGGTGGAGCTTCCCATGGAATGTACAAATATGGCCGCCCTGTTGTATGAGAAGTCTATGGAAGCCGCCATGCTCTACCAAAACAAACCATCCATAAGCGGCTCTTCCCTTCATTAAGCTAGTTGACAGTTTTCATTACACACCTTATTTTAGAGCCAGTGATATTGTCACTGAGTCTCTGTGTTTCTCTATGCAATGCAGGCAGATCATGGCTGGTAGGAGGGGCCAGCAGGGGGCTCTACAGAGCTTTCCAAAAATCTCAGTGCCCTGCCTCCGTACTCCTCTCAAGAGCCCTCAGTCCTGATTTAAGCAGTGGGAGGAGTTATGCCAATAACAATGCCTCGAACGTCAGTCTGGAGGAGTGGGTGTTCCTAGGCAGTGTGTATTTGCATAGGTGACGCCCACATGATGCTGAGCTTCCCTGACTGAAATAACTCACATCCAATGGAGGAAAGGGGCGGGGCAGTCAGGCTGGGAAGGAAACGGCTAAATGATGCTGGACGTCCTCCAGCCTTGAAATGAGGCGGGGTTTATCTGACTGGCTACAGCTTCTAATACACATTATGAGGAGCTCCCAGTGTGCAGTGACATCAGAGGAAGGGGAGGAGCCGGGTGCCCCCGGGCGGGACTGGAGGAGCCGGTGCCCCCGGGCGGGACTGGAGGAGCCGGTGCCCCCGGGCGGGACTGGAGGAGCCGGTGCCCCCGGGCGGGACTGGAGGGGTGGAGCCGGTGCACCCGGGCGGGACTGGAGGGGTGGAGCCGGTGCCCCCGTGTGGGACTGGAGGGGTGGCGCCGGGGCACCCAGAGGATGGAGGTCGGATTTAATACAGGTTTTGAGAAGACGTCTGTTGCTGATCTCCTTCTGAAAATGCTGCTTTCCTGGCTCTCATGTTGGTCCTGCTTTGATATGTTCTCTGCAGAGCTGAATTGAAGCGTGTGGCTTGGCATGACAGCCAGGTAACCAGCATTGTCAGATTGGGGGGGGGGGGGGGGTGTCCATGTCAGGTGAAGGGTTTCCCTTTTAATCCGGCCCCACTTCCAGCAGCAGAGTGAAGGCGGGTGGCAGTCGGCGTGGCGTTGCGGCGTGTTCTGTGCGGCGGTATAATGGACGCATTAATCCCCGTGTTCTCACATCCGTAGAGCTGCTGATGAGGCAATGCTGCCGCAGCGGGGGGGACCGCGGAGCGCGCCGAGTGATTAGTAGCCTGTCCCTTTCCCCTCCATTCAGCACATTCTCTGTACCCAGATCACTGCCGCCGTCTTCGCACCCCCCCCTACGTGTCCTGGGGGGGGGGGGTCACACTCTGCCATTCATATTCGATAACAGCCAATCACTGTCTGACCTCGCACCCCCCCCCCCCCTACGTGCCCGGGGGGGGGGGGGTCACACTCTCATTAATAATCGATAGCAGCCAGATCACTGCCGCCGTCTGACCCCCCCCCCCCCCCTACGTGTCCCGGGGGGGGGGGGGGGGGGGTCACTCTACCATTAATAATCGATAACAGCCAATCACTGTCTGACCTCGCACCCCCCCCCCCCCTACGTGTCCTGGGGGGGGGGGGGGTCACACTCTGCCATTAATAATCGATAGCAGCCAATCACTGTCTGACCTGCCCCCCCCCCCCCCCCTACGTGTCCCAGGGGGGGGGGGGGGGGGGGGGTCACACTCTGCCATTAATAATCGATAGCAGCCAATCACTGTCTGACCTCGCACCCCCCCCCCCCTACGTGTCCCGGGGGGGGGGGGGGGGTAACACTCTGCCATTAATAATCGATAACAGCCAATAAAGTCATTTGTCATGAAAATTGTAAATTGATAATTTTGGCACTTTTTTTTTTTTTGGGATGGGGGAGTCCTTTCTCTATGTGTGACAGTAAGGGGCCACTTCCGGGATGTAGCGCGTCAGCGTGTGCTTGGTATGTTTTGTCAGCGTGTGCTTGGCATGTTGCGCATCAACGCGTGTTGCGTTAGGGCAGCTAATGTAACAGAGCGGACAAAAACACTTTTTTTTTTTTTTTTTTTTTTTTTTTTTTTCGGCAGTGTGCACACATTTGGGGGGCCATTGGCAAGGAGTTGCTCCATAAGGCCCCTGGGAGGCCATAGGTTTGGGGTTTGATCACTTTTCAGAGGGTCGCTGGGAGGCCTTGGGTTTGAAAAGTGATCAAACCCCATTTGTATGGCCTCCCAACAGCCCTCTGTGATCAAAGCCAAAACCTAAAAAGTAATCAAACCCCCACTGGGAGGCCATAGGTTTGGGATTTGATCACTTTTTAGATGCTGGGAGGCCATAGGTTTGGGATATGATCACTTTTCAGAGGGTCGCTGGGAGGCCATACATATGGGGGTTTGATCCGTTTTCAGAGGGCCGCTGGGAGGCCATTCGTTTGAAAAGTGATCAAACCCCCATACGGCCTCCCAGTGGTCCTCTGAAAAGTGATAAAACCCCAAACGTATGGCCTCCCAGCGGCTCTGTGAAAAGTAATCGAACCCCCACAGGGCCCCTGGGAGGCCGTATGTTTGGGGTTTGATCACTTTTCAGAGGGTCGCTGGGAGGCCATATGTTTGGGATTTGATCACTTTTCAGAGGGTCGCTGGGAGGCCATATGTTTGGGGTTTGATCACTTTTCACAGGGGCCCCTGGGAGGCCATATGTTTGGGGTTTGATCACTTTTCAGAGGGTCGCTGGGAGGCCATATGTTTGGGGTTTGATCACTTTTCAGAGGGTCGCTGGGAGGCCATATGTTTGGGGTTTGATCACTTTTCAGAGGGTCGCTGGGAGGCCATATGTTTGGGGTTTGATCACTTTTCAGAGGGTCGCTGGGAGGCCATATTTTTTGGGGTTTGATCACTTTTCAGAGGGTCGCTGGGAGGCCATATGTTTGGGGTTTGATCACTTTTCAGAAGGCCGCTGCTAAACCACCTGATTTCACCCCACTGGCCACACGCCTGAATGAGCCCCTTCAGCCAGTTGCTTTTGGTGGGCGGCTCCACAGGCAAACGTGACCAATGCAGTTCTGTGGGGCTGTAGAATGTCAGTACAGCATTTATAGGGTTATATCGAGGCTTGGGGGGGGGTTCCCCTTTAAGGGTGGACACAGGTGAGAGGTCCGCTTTGGCCTGGAGAGCTCAGGGACGGCAGTGACTTGTGTGATCGCCTGGCGCTGGGGGCCACGGATTCCATCCCGGGGCCTCTCCTCTGATACAACACGGAAGGAATGAAAGTGAAACTGCTGGGTGGGCCGGGTAACCCCTTCACTCCCTCGCTGGGTGTCGCTGCCTGCGCCCCCATACAGGGAGAGGCAGACTGTGGTCAGTGCATGTGTCACATGATGCATTAACCCCTTGTGTACCCGTCACCCCTCCCCCATCGCTCCCGTAGAACATAAAATCTTACTGACATGACCCCTTTACTTACCCAGATCTTGTTTTCATTGGACCTCCAGTCCCGGGTCTTACCTCCAGTACAGTAGATGGGGTGGCTGAGATGGGGTACAATTTTGAATTCTCTTGGAGGGGGGGGGGGCATTTTTTTTTAATCTACTTGTCGATGCGGCAGGTGACTGGTAGCTGACAACCCCCCTGGACAGGAGAGGCGACATTTTACTGGAACCAATCCCCTGTAGCTCCCTGCAGCAGATGACATCCGGCTTCTCTTCCTCTTTCTCCTGCAGACATTCAGCTGCTGCAGGGGACCGGTTCTAGTAAATGCTGCCCCCTCCTGTCCAGGTTTCCCTTCCTTCTGCTGTCTGAGCCCCCCTGTGTGCTCCCTTGGTACCCCCATCCCCCCCCCCCCTCCTCCTCCACTGCAACAGTGCTGGTTTCCCTTCCTCACTCTTGCCAGCTTTCAGCTGCTGCGGGGAAAAAACTACAGGGGATTGGTTTTAGTAAATGCTGCCCCCTCCTGTCCGGGTTCCTCTTCCTCCTGCCCCCTGTGTGCTCCCCTGGTACCCCTCCCCCAGCAGTGGTGCTGGTTTCCCTTCCTCCCTCTTGCAAGCTTTCAGCTGCTGCTGGGGGGGGGGGGGGGGGGGGACGACTACAGGGGATCGGCTCTAGTAAATGCCACCCCCTCCTGTCTAGGTACCCCTCCCCCAACAGTTGTGCTGGACTCCCTTCCTTTCCCACTTGTCAGCTTTCAGCTGCTGCAGGGGGAAAACTACAAGGGATTGGTTCTAGTAAATGGCACCCCCTTCTGTCCAGGTTCCTCTTCTTCCTGCCCCCCGGTGTGCTGCCCGGTACCCCTCCCCCCAGCAGCTGTGCTGGTTTCCCTTTCTCCCTCTCACCAGATTTCAACTGCTGCAGGGGGAAAACTAGAGGGGATCGGTTCTAGTAAATGGCACCCCCCTCCTGTTCAGGTTCCTCCTGCCCCTTGTGTGCTCCCTGGTGCCCCTCCCCCAGCAACGGTGCTGGCTTCCCTTTTTGCCTCTTGCCAGCTTTCAGCTGCTGCAGGGGGGGGGGGGGGGGGTCAACCTACAGGGGATTGGTTCTAGCAAATTCTACCCCCTCCTGCCCAGGTTCCCCTTCCTCCCCCCCCCCCCCCCCCCATGTGCTCCCCAGTACCCCTCCCCCTGCAGTGGTGCTGGTTTCCCTTTCTCCTTGCCAGCTTTCAGCTGCTGCAGGGGGAAAACTACTGGGGATCCAACCCCCCCCCCCACCCCCCCCCGACCCGGCAACTCCATGGATGAGGCCCTCCACCCCCCCCCCCCCCCATTTTGCGTATTCTTAAGGCCGGGGGTGGGGAAGGGGGGGGGATTGGCAACCTGTTAATATATTTGTCGGTTGCGCTGAGTGTCCGGTGATCTCTCCTTTCTATTGATGGTTTTCTGTTTTTGTTTTCCAGGCTCACAAGTCTGTGACCTTCGTGTCCACCCTGCTGCAGATCACCATGTCTGAGCAACTGGATCTACCTGTGCGACAAGCAGGCGAGTACAAGGGGGCGAGGTGCAATCCTCTACAGCCATTCAACGTCCAGAATTTACACAGTATTTCTGAGCTCCAGGAGGCAGGGGGCGAGGATCTGATGTCACACACCGCACAGAGCAGGGAGCTGAGTTTAATCTGAGACCCGAGTGGAGGGAATGGACACACCCCTCTCTACGTAGTCTCATAGGGAGTCAGGCACAGCTGAGGCTGTTAAAGTGGTCTTCCAGGGTTGTGTGGTGTTGGTATAGACCACTGGTCTCCACACTGCGGGACTTTGCTTGCTTTTGTCCAGCCCTCACTGGCAGACGGCGGGAGTGGCATAGCGGGCGGGAGTGGCATAGCTCCTGCGGCGGGAGTGGCATAGCTCCTAGTGGCTGCGGCTGGCATAGCTCTCCTGGCGGGAGTGGCATAGCTCCTGCGGCGGGAGTGGCATAGCTCCTGCGGCGGGAGTGGCATAGCTCCTGCGGCGGGAGTGGCATAGCTCCTGCGGGAGTGGCATAGCTCCTCGGGAGTGGCTGCTCCTGCGGCGGGAGTGGAGCTCCTGCGGCGGGAGTGGTGCTCCTGCCGCAGACTCCACTGGGGCACTCTTCATTCCATTTAAAACCAAATGAGGCATTTTTTTTCCCCCCCCACTGGTCACAGTTTGGCCCCACTAAAGTTTGAAGGACAGTAAATTGGCCCTATATATGTATGTGTAAGACCCCTGGTATATACTGTCAGAAGTGACTCATGCAGAGGAAGGAGGCAGCAGGGAGAAATGACACTTAGCACTTTGGACTGAGGCAAGTACACACTAGAGGGATGTGCTTTGTTCATTTTTCATTTCAGGGGTTCACAGCCACTTTGTTTAATAAGCAGACATGGCGTTGCTGCAGCCCCCAGTCATGTGATAAATGTTGAGCAGCTGCTCATCCTTCGCCCTTTCCCTGACAGGTACACTTGAATTCGGAGGGGTTCATTGAGCTGAGTGTTGGATTTGCGTTCTCTTTGAATTGGTTCAGCTTTTAGTTTCTGACGTTCCTTGTTACATTTAGACCGTTATGTTTTCCATACTTTGCGCAAACAAGTGATCGGGGCCTCGCGGCTGCTTCTTCATCTCCAGAAAGTGCAGCTGGGAAAAGAAGAGAAATCCTCATCTCGGTTCAGCAAAATCTCCAGAATGGAGTTGCTAAGCTTGGTCCGGTCACAGAAGAGATGTCGGAGATAGCATGGCAAGCATGTTAAAGGGAACATGTTAAGGAGTTCCTAAGCACGCATCTATTGACCTATAATGTAATGTCATCACTGGATCTCTGTGTTTCTCTATGCAATGCAGGCAGTTCATGGCTGGTGGCTGGGAGCTTTACATAGCTTCCTGAAAATATTACAGCCCCCTGCCTCAGCCCCTCTTCTCACGAGCCCTCAGTCTTGGTGCAAGCAGTGGGCTGCCCCTGAGGAGGAGTTATGCAAGTATCAAACTGCTTTGCTGGGTGGGTGTCGGACTAGAGGAGTGGGCTGTCCTAGATGCTGTATCTGCATGCGGACCACCCCAGCTAATGCTTACATGTGACGTTGAACCTCCGTGATCGAAAGAACTGAAATCAAATGAAAGGGGTGGGGCCAGGGACAGTCAGGCTGGGGGGAGGAAAGAGATGATGCTGGACGTCCTCCAGCCAAGAATTGAGGCGGAGCTATGACTTGCAGCTTCTAATGCACATTGTGAGAAGCTCAGTGTGCAGAGTAATTTTTCAGTCCATGGGAGGAGCCGGGACACCTGTGCAGGATTGGAGGGGTGGAGCCAGGGGATGCTTGTTCAGGGGTGGAGCCAGGGGACGCTTGTTCAGGGGTGGAGCCGGGGGGACGCATTGTTCAGGGGTGGAGCCGGGGGGGCGCGCTTGTTCAGGGGTGGAGCCGGGGGGGAGCCGCGCTTGTTCAGGGGTGGAGCCGGGGGGGCGCGCTTGTTCAGGGGTGGAGCCGGGGGGGCGCGCTTGTTCAGGGGTGGAGCCGGGGGGCGCGCTTGTTCAGGGGTGGAGCCGGGGGGGCGCGCTTGTTCAGGGGTGGAGCCGGGGGGGGGACGCGCTTGTTCAGGGGTGGAGCGGGGGGGCGGCTTGGGGGGGAGCCGCGCGCTTGTTCAGGGGTGGAGCCCGGGGGGGGGCGCGCTTGTTCAGGGGTGGAGCCGGGGGGGGACGCGCTTGTTCAGGGGGTGGAGCCGGGGGGGGCGCTTGGGGGGAGCCGGGGGGGGCGCGCTTGTTCAGGGGTGGAGCCGGGGGGGGACGCGCTTGTTCAGGGGTGGAGCCGGGGGGGGACGCGCTTGTTCAGGGGTGGAGCCGGGGGGGCTGGGGACGCGCTTGTTCAGGGGTGGAGCCGCGCTTGGGGGGGGGCGCGCGCTTGTTCAGGGGTGGAGCCGGGGGGGGGGGACGCGCTTGTTCAGGGGTGGAGCCAGGGGGGGGGGGGACGCGCTTGTTCAGGGGTGGAGCCGGGGGGGGACGCGCTTGTTCAGGGGTGGAGCCGGGGGGGGGACGCGCTTGTTCAGGGGTGGAGCCGGGGGGGGGACGCGCTTGTTCAGGGGTGGAGCCGGGGGGGGGGACGCGCTTGTTCAGGGGTGGAGCCGGGGGGGGGACGCGCTTGTTCAGGGAACTGGGGAGGGGTGGGCGGATTTCAATCTTTCCCATCCACCCCCTTCAGCAGAGGCCATATAGCTCAAAGCTCCTGAGATCCTCTATGGCTGTACCTGATGCTGTGCCGTTCTGATTGTCCGTCTCCTACTGCACATGTATGCTGCTTGGCACATGAATTGTAGCTGGTCTGTATAGGGGGTCACCCTCAGCATGGATAGGCAGAGCGGCCATGTTCAGTAGGACCTGGACACGGCTGGGACTCCTGTGTGTAGCATCAAGCAGGACCGCACACTGACCACCCTTGCAGTGGGTGGTGAACCCTTTTCATCGGTGCGGGTGGGCGGTGCCCCTGGGTGGGCGGTGCCCCTGGGTGGGGTATACAGATCGCTGTGAAGTCAGACTTGGGTTTTTATCGTTTTCCTCCTCCCTCCCATAGGTGTTATTTATTTAAAGAATATGATCACTCAGTATTGGCCGGATCGGGAGGTGACCCCGGGAGAAGTCCCCACACACACCATCCCCGAGGAGGACCGCCACTGTATCCGCGAGAATATTGTAGAAGCCATCATCCAATCTCCAGAGCTGATACGGTGAGTGCGCCGTGGGGGCCGCGTCATTGTGTGAGTGTATAGAGCGCAGCAAAGGCACCGACCTGACCAATGAGCTGGGACCAAGCATTGCCAATTTCGTTTACAAATTTAAATCGGTTTTTGTTTTTATTTGTTAGAAAATTACTTACAACCTTCCAACAAATATTTTACATTCATTTTTAATTTTTTTTAGGCAACGTCCACAGAAAATGAAATGGCAATTGTTGCAATTTTTTGTTGCACAATATTTGCACAGCAGTTTTTCTAACGCGCGTTTTTTTTTTTTTTTTTTTTTTTTTTTTTTTTTTTTTTTTTTTTTTTTTTTCTTTTGAACTAATACTTTTAAATGAACTATAAAATAAAAAAAAACCCCGTATATATCCCAATTCTTTTGTGCAATTTGGAATGGAATGTTACAACAAGTAAATGGATACCTAACACGTTTCACTTTAAAATTGCGCACGCTTGTGGAATGGCGACAAACTACGGTACTTAATTTCCATAGGCGATGCTTTTGAACCTTTTCACAGGTTACCTGTTTAGATAGAGTATGTCTAGAGCTAGAATTATTGTTCACTTTTAATCTTTGCGGTGATTTACACGCACCGTTTACATATGCGTGGGAAGCCTGCGTATATTATGCGTACAAGCATAAAGGGAAAAGGGCGCTTTAAAATTTTTATTTTTACACTGTCCCTTTATTATCACTTCCTACGTGCGCAGCCTGCGTATATTTACTTCTGCGTGCAAGCATAGAGGGGGGAAAAAAAGCGTTTTTAAATTTTTTTTATTTTTACTCTTCTTTTTTTTTTTTTTTTTTTTTTTTTTTTTTTTCAAGGAATGTTTTTTTTTATTAATAGAAATCAAGGTCATAGGTCCTCTTTAAGGAGTGATCTGGATAATCTATTTACCTTTTTTTTTTTTAAAAGCAAAAGATCAAAAACCTTTATTTGTTTTTAAACTTTGCATCCACCCCCGACCGGAAGTGACGTCATGACGTCACTACGGTCCTCCGAGGCAATCAGAGACCAGTCTCATCGCCTCTGTGACCAACTGGCCACACCGTCGGATTGTTTCTCGGGCGCGCCGGTTTTAAGGGTAAGCCTGTGAAACATCGGCGGGAGGGGGAGGGTAATGTCCCGTCTCTACTGAAAGCAATCCAGTAGCTAATGAGCCCCTCGGCCCGCTGTCATGAGATGGCCCGCCCCCCAGGTGGAAAAAAAAAAAAAAAAGCTACCAGGGTTATGGTTGGTCTTTAGCCATAACCCCGGTAAACGACTTACTAACCGCAGTGTGTGTGTAAAATATATAAAATATGCATTGAGGTTGGCGAGTGGGTAAAAGGAACCCAAAAATATGTATATTCCCTACCCCCCCCCCCCTTTGCTCTCACTCCATCGTTCGCGGGATACCTCGCGTGTTCTGAGATTGATGTTTACATACACACACTCACCCTGCCCTCCAGTGTAGCTATTCAAGCACAGATCGTACTTGAATAGCTGCATCCTCGGCTATGCTAGCCAGCGAATGACTGCTTTTTACCCCTGGAGGTGATGTAATACACGTTGCGTCTGGGTCACTAGTTGCAGGAGGAATCTGGAAATGAGAACCCCCAGGAACCAGCACTGAGCCCGACTTGAAGCCAGTACCAAGCTCACAGCTGTCACAAGCTTGACTTAACCACTTGTCTACCTGGCTGTTTATAAACGTACTCTGTCCTGCATGAGAGAGGTGACCATCTCCAACCACTTGGTCACCTCTCTCAGCCTGGTAGACAAGTGGTTGAAGACGGTGACCTTTCTCTCAGCCTGGTACACATGGTTGAAGACGGTCACCTCTCACAGCCTGGTAGACAAGTGGTTGAAGATGGTGACCTTTTCTCTCAGCCTGGTAGACACGTGGTTGAAGATGGTGACCTTTCTCTCAGCCTGGTACACATGGTGAAGACACAGCCTGGTAGACAAGTGGTTGAAGATGGTGACCTTTCTCTCAGCCTGGTAGACACGTGGTTGAAGATGGTGACCTTTCTCTCAGCCTGGTAGACACGTGGTTGAAGATGGTGACCTTTCTCTCAGCCTGGTAGACACGTGGTTGAAGACGGTGACCTTCTCTCTCAGCCTGGTACACATGGTTGAAGACGGTCACTCTCTCACAGCCTGGTAGACACGTGGTTGAAGATGGTGACCTTTTCTCTCAGCCTGGTAGACACGTGGTTGAAGATGGTGACCTTTCTCTTCTCTCAGCCTGGTAGACACGTGGTTGAAGACGGTGACCTTTCTCTCAGCCTGGTACACATGGTTGAAGATGGTCACCTCTCACAGCCTGGTAGACAAGTGGTTGAAGATGGTCCCCTCTCTCAGCCTGGTAGACACGTGGTTGAAGATGGTGACCTTTATCTTGGCCTGGTAGACACGTGGTTGAAGATGGTGACCTTTCTCTCAGCCTGGTAGACACGTGGTTGAAGATGGTGACCTTTCTCTCAGCCTGGTAGACATCTTCAACCACGTGTCTACCAGGCTGAGAGAGGTCACCATCTTCAACCACTTGCTTACCAAAGTGATAGTCCGTCTACAAAGGGACCACCAACCCCTCTATACTTCTTCCTCCTTTGACCTGATATAATTGGTTTTGCCATTTGGGGGAAGGGGGATGATTGGTGATGTCATTGACTATAAGCGCTGGGTGGGGGGCTTTGCCCTGCATGGGAAGGGTTTCTTCAGATTGCATCTATGAGGAGAATCGAATCTTGTTGCACGTAGCTGCTATCAATGTATTTCATCTCTCGGTGTCGTATTGCAGAGTCCAGCTGACCACGTGTATCCACCACATCATCAAACATGATTACCCGACACGCTGGACGGCCGTCGTAGAGAAGATCGGCTATTATCTGCAGTCCGATAACAGTGCATGTTGGTTGGGTATCCTGCTCTGTCTGTACCAGTTGGTGAAGAACTATGAGTAAGTCACCCCTTCATCTGTTGAACAAGTGCGACTGTCCCCAGCCTTGCTGTGTAATTCAAAAATTAGGAAACTGCGCTTAAGGGCAGAAGAACACACACGTGCATGCGTGGTGACGTCATGACCTCCAGCTCCGCCCTACGTGTTCCGTCAGATATGTCATCAGGGGCACTGTTTCTTCGTGATCTTCTGGGGAGTAGCACAGCATTTATGCTGTATAATCTGTCTGCTCCATCTTCCAGGTACGAGAAGCCAGAAGAGAGGAGCCCACTGATAGCCGCTATGGTGCACTTTCTGCCCATGCTGAAGGAGCGATTCATCCGCCTGCTTCCTGACCCCTCCGAACAGTCCGTGCTCATTCAGAAACAGATCTTTAAGATCTTCTACGCCCTTGTCCAGGTAAGCGTCTGCAGGTTATGTTCACTCAGTGTTCTTTGATGCTGTCTCCAAACTGCGGCCCGAGGGCTGGATGTGTTGCTACCCTTTATCTGTCCCTTGGGGCACTATTCCTCCCACTGACCCCAATGATGGGGCGCTATTTCCTCCCACTGACCCCAATGATGGGGCGCTATTCCTCCCACTGCAGTGGGGCGCTATTTTCCCACTGACCCCAATGGTGGGGCGCTATTCCTCCCACTGACCCCTGGTGGGGCGCTTTCCTCCCACTGACCCCAATGTGGGGCGCTATTCCTCCCACTGACCCCAATGGTGGGGCGCTATTCCTCCCACTGACCCCAATGGTGGGGCGCTATTCCTCCCACTGAACCCAATGGTGGGGCGCTATTCCTCCCACTGACCCCAATGGTGGGGCGCTATTCCTCCCTTGACCCCAATGGTGGGGCGCTATTCCTCCACTGACCCCAATGGTGGGGTTCCCCACTGACCCCAATGGTGGGGCGCTATTCCTCCCACTGACCCCAATGGTGGGGCGCTATTCCTCCCACTGACCCCAATGGTGGGGCGCTATTCCTCCCACTGACCCCAATGGTGGGGCGCTATTCCTCCCTGACCCCAATGGTGGGCGCTATTCCTCCCACTGACCCCAATGGTGGGGCGCTATTCCTCCCACTGACCCCAATGGTGGGGCGCTATTCCTCCCACTGACCCCAATGGTGGGGCGCTATTCCTCCCACTGACCCCAATGGTGGGGCGCTATTCCTCCCACTGACCCCAATGGTGGGGCGCTATTCCTCCCACTGACCCCAATGGTGGGGCGCTATTCCTCCCACTGACCCCAATGGTGGGGCGCTATTTCCTCCCACTGACCCCAATGGTGGGGCGCTATTCCTCCCACTGACCCCAATGGTGGGGCGCTATTCCTCCCACTGACCCCAATGGTGGGGCGCTATTCCTCCCACTGACCCCAATGGTGGGGCGCTATTCCTCCCACTGACCCCAATGGTGGGGCGCTATTCCTCCCACTGACCCCAATGGTGGGGCGCTATTCCCCCAACCCCAATGGTGGGGCGCTATTCCTCCCACTGACCCCAATGGTGGGGCGCTATTCCTCCCACTGACCCCAATGGTGGGGCGCTATTCCTCCCACTGACCCCAATGGTGGGGCGCGCTATTCCTCCCACTGACCCCAATGGTGGGGCGCTATTCCTCCCATGACCCAAATGGTGGGGCGCTATTCCTCCCACTGACCCCAATGGTGGGGCGCTATTTCCTCCCACTGACCCCAATGGTGGGGCGCTATTCCTCCCACTGACCCCCAATGGTGGGGCGCTATTCCTCCCACTGACCCCAATGGTGGGGCGCTATTCCTCCCACTGACCCCAATGGTGGGGCGCTATTCCTCCCACTGACCCCAATGGTGGGGCGCTATTTCCTCCCACTCCCAACTGCTATTCCTCCCCCCCAATGGTGGGGCGCTATTCCTCCCACTGACCCCAATGGTGGGGCGCTATTCCTCCCACTGACCCCAATGGTGGGGCGCTATTCCTCCCACTGACCCCAATGGTGGGGCGCTATTCCCCTGGGGCGCCCACTGACCCCAATGGTGGGGCGCTATTCCTCCCACTGACCCCAATGGTGGGGCGCTATTCCTCCCACTGACCCCAATGGTGGGGCGCTATTCCTCCCACTGACCCCAATGGTGGGGCGCTATTCCTCCCACTGACCCCAATGGTGGGGCGCTATTCCTCCCACTGACCCCAATGGTGGGGCGCTATTCCTCCCACTGACCCCAATGGTGGGGCGCTATTCCTCCCACTGCTATTTCCCCCACTGACCCCAATGGTGGGGCGCTATTCCTCCCACTGACCCCAATGGTGGGGCGCTATTCCTCCCACTGACCCCAATGGTGGGGCGCTATTCCTCCCACTGACCCCAATGGTGGGGCGCTATTCCTCCCACTGACCCCAATGGTGGGGCGCTATTCCTCCCACTGACCATCAACCCTGTGGCCATGTTTATTCTCACTGATGCTGGGGCCAGGACATGTTCTGTCTTCGTTGGCCCTAGTCCGGCCCTCCTAAAGTCTATACTGGCCCTTTTTTGTTTGAAAAATTTGGAGACCTCTGCTTTAAAACTACTTTAAAGTTCGTTCAAAAGTCAGGCAGGCGAGGGGTTAAATTTATCTTGGACTTTCTTGAACATACGTTTTGGCTCGCTCTGATTCTCCCAAAGGACACTGTTTTGAGAGTGGTGACTGGCTGCTAAGAGCACTGCATTCTGGTTGGGGTGAAAGGTCACATGACCCCCCTCCATACCTGGAAATACCAGGTCTCGCCAAATGATCCAACCAGTTTGCAGGAAAGGAGGATATAAGGGGTAGGGGGTGTGAAGAGAACCAGCCACTTTTACTCTTCATGGGTATGTTGGTTCCCTTTCATAATGATCAGTCCAGCCCGTCTAATGGTAGTGAATGAAGTGATCTGCGGGGATTCCAGCACTCCCGATTTATTAAAGCCTCTGTTTTTACCTTGCAGTACACGTTACCCCTGGAGCTCATCAATCAGCCCAGTCTGGCCGAGTGGGTTGAGATTTTGAAGACCGTGGTGGACCGGGACGTTCCTGCAGTAAGTTGTGTGTTTTGTTTTTTGTTTTTTTTTTGTTACCAAATTCACCATTTTTATGTTCTGGAACTTTTTACAAAGTACGCTGGCTCATGCACATTTTCCTAGCAGAGCATTGCCCTCTAATCTTACCATGGCCATACTCACCGGCCAATCAAATCTCTCTGTATTCAAGGAAATCCCACAGACTCTAGAACAATAGAAGCTCCATCTGGGTGGAGCCTTCTGTGGATTTCAGTTCTGGACCCCAAAATGCCAAACATAAGTATTAACTGTCACTTCTCTGCCCCCCAAAATGTAGGAGTAACTTGAATAAAAAGGGCTGTTTTTATTAACTTCTTCCGAAAATTGGTTCTCCAATTGTGTGTGATCATTGAAGGGGAGCATTAGAGTGTAAGCTCCTCTGGTACAGAGACTGATGTGACTGACTCAGTGATCTCTGTACAGCACAGCGGTATATGTCAGAGCTATATAAATAGCATGTGACTGGGGGGGGACACTGTACCATAGGAGATTGCACTTTGGCTCAGTGTTCTCTAGTCACACACTGTATAGCTCTAGACATATACCGCAGTTTTGCTGTACAGAGAACACTGGGGGAGTCACATCAGTCTCTGTAAGCTCCTCTGGTACAGAGACTTGACTGTGGGGGAGGGGACATTAGAGTGTCTGGTACAGAGACTGATGTGACTGGCTCAGTTGATCTCTGTACAGCACTACTGTATATGTCAGAGCTATACACGTAGTGTGTGACTATGGGGAGACTTTAGAGCGTAAGCTCCTCTGGTACAGCACTGTGGAACTGTGGGGGGGGACATTGGAGCATGAGCTTGCTCCTCTGGTACAGAGACTGATGGGACTGTGGGGGAGGGGACTTAGTGTAAGCTCCTCTGGTACAGATGCTGATGTGACTGTGGGGGGAGGGACACTCTTAGTGTAAGCTCCTCTGGTACAGAGACTGATGGGACTGTGGGGGAGGGGACATTAGAGCGTAAGCTCCTCTGGTACAGAGACTGATGGGACTGTGGGGGAGGGGACATTAGTGTAAGCTCCTCTGGTATGTCAGATGCTACAAGTAGTGACTGTGGGGGGAGGGGACATTAGTGTAAGCTCCTCTGGTACAGAGACTGATGGGACTGTGGGGGAGGGGACATTAGAGCGTAAGCTCCTCTGGTACAGAGACTGATGGGACTGTGTGGGGGGGGGGACATTAGTGTAAGCTCCTCTGGTACAGAGACTGATGGGACTGTGGGGGAGGGGACATTAGTGTAAGCTCCTCTGGTACGGAGACTGATGGGACTGGGGGGGAGGGGACATTAGTGTAAGCTCCTCTGGTACAGAGACTGATGGGACTGTGGGGGAGGGGACATTAGTGTAAGCTCCTCTGGTACAGAGACTGATGGGACTGTCTCGGTGTTGGTGAGGCCTGTTTGTCCACCATTGTGGGCTGATGACTTCTACTTTATCTACCGAACGATTCTGCGACCCCCTTCACCTGAATTGTCGTCCATGTTGGGGGTGGTCAGCAGTCCATGTTGCTGGGCACTCAGGACACGTCTTGTTTTTCTCATGGCAGGAGACCCTCCAGGTTGATGAGGATGACAGGCCGGAGCTGCCCTGGTGGAAGTGTAAGAAGTGGGCTCTGCACATAATGGCCCGGCTGTTCGAGAGGTATGGTGGGTTACTCAATATGTACATCTTTCTTCCCTCCGGCAACTTGTGGCAGTTTAATTCGCATCCCATAATAGCTCTCATGTGACCTACCCGGCCCCACATGGTGTACTCCCGGTTCGTTGTGTAACAATAGCCAATGGCTGCTATGGGGCCGGGGGGTACAACGGGGCCCCTTTTTGGGCAGGCAAAGAAGTTTCCAATATAGAAGGGCTGAAGTCAGATCTCAGGATCCTCGCTAGTCACAGATTCCCCCTCAGTGCAGCAAGTGGCATCTGCATCTCTCGGCACTGAACCCTGTATGCCAGCGGCATGATGGCACTTGTAGTTCTGCAAAGCTGGAGGGCCACACTTGCCCACCCCTGATTTAGATATACCTTAGTGGTACACTGGACCCTACATTCACTCTCTGGGCTCCCACAGAACATGGCAATTCAATTATTTTAGTAAATATAAACTGATTACCTTTTATCAGCTGTATAAAGCAGTCATGTGACTTCAGTATCCAGCAGAGCACTGGTTAAAGCTTGTAGGAGGAGTTTTTCTGCTCTAGGAGGATGCAGAACCCCTAACCTCTGTCTGGACAGTGCTGATTGGCCACATACGCACTCCCAAGGGAAAAAAAAAACTCTAGCAATACACACCAAACAGAGCATGTGCCGAATGTCTCCACATATGTCTTAGGAGATGAGATGTGGGCACTGGAAGCGGCGTGCAGCTGGTTCCCCCCCCTTTGCAGCCGGTTCCTTCCAATCCCAAACTCCATTCTCCCCCCTCCCATTGCAGCTGGTTCCTTAACCCAACCTCTGTTGCAGCCGGTTCCTGCACCCCCCACCTGTTGCAGCCGGTTCCTTCCCCAACCCCCCGTTGCAGCCGGTTCGTTCAACCTCACCACCCAACCACATTCAAACCCCCCCACGGCCGGTTCATCCACAACCCCCGCTGCCGTTTCCTTCCCAGAAAATCCCCCCCCCCCCCCCCCCCCCCGAGCAAGCCCGTTCCTTCCCCTGAGCAGCCCGTTCAAATATTTCTGCCTTTGCACCGAGGCCTAGAAAGAAAATGTACCTTTTTTTTACAGGAAAGTAATGCATTGATATGTGAGTGTAGACCTCTGATGTCTCGTGTTTCTTTAGGTACGGAAGTCCTGGAAATGTCTCCAAAGAATATAATGAATTTGCAGAAGTTTTCTTGAAGGCTTTTGCAGTTGGTGTTCAACAGGTACCTGTCCACCTTCTAAGCCGGGGTGGGGGATGGGTCCTTTGTAAGGGAGATCTCCAGGAAACCTACCTTGGGTGGAATGGAAGTATAAAGATTTTTTTTTTTACGTTTACCTCCATGTGTTACGGAAATTTGCTGGCGGCGAGGAGCAGGGGGCGGACGGGACCGGAGGGAGGCGGGGGGGGGCAGGGACGGGACCGGCGGGGGGGCGGACAGGACCGGCGGGAGGGGGGGGGCGGACAGGACCGGCGGGAGGTGGGGTGGCGGACAGGACCGGAGGGAGGGGTGGGGTGGCGGACAGGACCGGAGGGAGGTGGGGGTGGCGGACAGGACCGGAGGGGGGCGGACCGGAGGGGGGCGGACGGGGAGGGGGGGCGAGGGGCAGGGGGCGGGCAGAACCGAAGTGTTCTCTGCTCTTGCACAGTTTTTAGAGGCCGCTAACTCCGGGGGAGGGTATCAACTGTTCTCCTCTTCTGTCCTTATAGCAGTACAAAACCCTCCTATCCTTTTCAGCCAAGGAAGCCGCCATCTTGGCCTCTGTTATGTAACTGCCATGGTGCTGCGCATGTGATGACCGTTATCACACTATGACACCGGCCGTTTTGTTTTGACTGTTTGAGAGCACAAGCACGTGTGTGTTGTCATTCCTGGCATGTCAGGAATGTAACTTGTCCTTAACCACTTCAGGTCCGGACACTTTCACCCCCTTCCAGTCCAGGCCAATTTTCAGTTTTCGGTGTGATCACACTTTGACAATTGCACGGTCATGCAACACTGTACCCATGATTTTTTTTTTTTTTTTTTTTTTTTTTTTTTTGTTAACGGATAATTTTTTATTTTGGTGTCATTTTTACTCACCACTAGGATTTAAAAAATTTTTTTTTTTTTTTTTTTGCTATATAAATGAAAGTCCAATCATTTTTGAAAGTGTTTTTCTTATAAAATTTTGCAAATCTTTCTTCTTAAATCTTGGCCAAAATGTATTCATCCTATCTTTTTAGTAAAAAAAAAAAAAATAATAAATAAAATTAGTTTATAACCAAAAATTATAAATTTTAAAAAAATTTTTTTGCATTTTTGATTTCTTTTTTTAAACGTTCTGTCACCCTAGCAGTACAGTGTCATCAGTGATATATATATTTTTTTTTTTTTTACACGAATTGCTTTTACACCCATAAAAGCTGTAATAGCAATCATTTCTCCTTCTCTCTGGCTGCATTCCTGCAGCCAGTGAGAAATGCTGTGAGAGCTGTGATTGGTCACAGCTTGTCACATGGTACAAGGCTGTTGTGAATAGCCCTGTACCATGTGATCTTTGTGATCATTCACAGATTTCACTAATAGTAAGCAACGATGTCAGAAGTGATCACTGATTGGCCACCGCTGCGATCCAGTTCCAGTGCGAAGGGGAAAAAGCTGACCGCACCGATTTGATGTGGTGCGATTTGAACCGTTCGAAATGAATGGGCTCAAATCGCACTTCACGGAGTCTCCTGCGGTGCGATTCCTTTGAGATGACATGCGGTGTGCAGTTTACACCAGGGCTGGATTGATGGGTTTAGTTCCACTTTCAGTCTCCAGAAGATTATTGAAATGCCATCGTGTTTACAGTAAGTCTGAGATGACCTTGAAATCTGCAGTCAGGTGTCAGCAAAGTGATGTAGGACTTGGCTGGGGGGGGGGGGGGGTGCAGCATAGCAGTAGGACTTGGCTGGGGGGGGGGGGGCAGGGGTGTATTTACCACAAGGCACTTGCCTAGGGTGGCATTTTTCAGGGGGGCAGCACCTCCCCCCAGAAGAGGGGATGAAAGAAGGGAACCAGGTGGGATCCGAGAGGGGCTGCGGGCTACTTCATGGTGTGTGTATATAGAGCCTGACTCTCGTTCCCGGGGATGTCTGGAGCTGTGAAGATCAGCATCTCTCTATCGCCGGGGGGGATAGTGGAAGGCTCTCCCGGGTGGGTGGCAGGGGTGTTGTTGGTCAATGTCAGGCTCTCTCCATGGGAGAGGGAATGGGGGGTTGTGTTGTCCGTGGGGGCAGATGATTTTTGTGTTGCCTAGGCCAGCAGAAAACCTAAACACACCTCTGGAGGGGCGCAGCATAGCGGTAGGACTTGGCTGGGGGGGGGGCGGGCGCAGGTAGGATAGGTAGGACTTGGCTGGGGGGGGGGCGGGCGCAGCATAGCGGTAGGACTTGGCTGGGGGGGGCGGGCGCAGCATAGCAGTAGGACTTGGCTGGGGGGGGGCGGGCGCAGCATAGCGGTAGGACTTGGCTGGGGGGGGGGGGGGCGCAGCATAGCGGTAGGACTTGGCTGGCGGGGGGGGGGGGCTCAGCATAGCGGTAGGACTTGGCTGGCGGGGGGGGGGGGGGGCTCAGCAGCATAGCGCTAGGACTTGGCTGGCGGGGGGGGGGGGCTCAGCATAGCGCTAGGACTTGGCTGGCGGGGGGGGGGGGCTCAGCATAGCGCTAGGACTTGGCTGGCAGTGAGGCAGTCTGAGGTGTGATGGGCTGGGGCGTGGCATGGAGGATCTGCCTGGCTGGCGCCTGGGGGTCTTGAGCAGTGTGGCGGGTTGGGACTGGCTGGGGTGGGACGTGGAGGATTGGGCCTGGCTGGCTAGTTAAGCCTGGCTGTGGCGTGGGGGGGTTGGTCACGGCATAACTGGTTAGACCTGGCTGTAGCACGGCATGGGCGGGCTGTTGCGTGGGGGGGTTGGTCACGGCATAACTGGTTAGACCTGGCTGTAGCACGGCATGGCGGGCTGTTGCGTGGGGGGTTGGTCACGGCATAACGTGTTAGACCTGGTTGCAGCACGGCGGGGGCGGGCTGGGGCGTGGTAGGTTAAGCCTGGCTGTGGTGTGGGGGGGCTGCGGTATGAAATGGCAGGTTGGGCCTAGCCGGGGCATGGCAGGTTAGGACTGGTGCATCAGCAGCTGCTTTCTAGGCACAGATATTTTGCAGGCGGTCTTCCAGGTAACAACAATGGCAGTTACACAGGGTGACTGCCCATTCCGCTGGAGGCTGTGTTCTTGCAGTGTCGGGGTACAGTGGCAGCAGTGCAGTGTGCGCAGTGTCAGTCTGTGTCTGGTGGAGCAGTGTGTTGGCGTGCTGCTGATTTCACCGCTCCGCTCACACGAATCCTGCAGCCGGAGATGAACATGAGATCATAGTACTGGTCTAGTGCCCGTCTGTTGGACGCCGTCACCACTGGCCAGCCTCCAAACTCTCACACATGTCTGCCAGCCGTGGCTGTGATGTCGGGCTGTTGTATAGTAGATGGACTGATGAGGATTTCCCTGCCTTGCAGGTCTTGCTGAAAGTCCTGTACCAGTATATAAGGAGAAGCAGTACATGGCGCCCCGAGTCTTGCAGCAAACGCTCAACTATCTCAACCAAGGAGTGTCACACGCCATGACCTGGAAGAACTTGAAGCCGCACATCCAGGTGAGCTGATCACAGGACCACCGTGAGCTGGAGAAGCACTGCGTTGTTCAAGGCTGTGTGGGGCCCGGGGGGGGGTTCCAAGCTTGTGTGGGGCCCGGGGGGGGTTCCAAGCTTGTGTGGGGCCCGGGGGGGTTCCAAGCTTGTGTGGGGCCCGGGGGGGGGGGGTTCCAAGCTTGTGTGGGGCCCGGGGGGGGGGGTTCCAAGCTTGTGGGGCCCGGGGGGGGGTTCCAAGCTTGTGTGGGGCCCGGGGGGGGGTTCCAAGCTTGTGTGGGGGGGGGGGGTTCCAAGCTTGTGTGGGGCCCGGGGGGGGTTCCAAGCTTGTGTGGGGCCCGGGGGGGGGGCTTGTGTGGGGCCCGGGGGGGGTGTTCCAAGCTTGTGTGGGGCCCGGGGGGGGCTTCCAAGCTTGTGTGGGGGGGCCCGGGGGGGGGTTCCAAGCTTGTGTGGGGCCCGGGGGGGGGTTCCAAGCTTGTGTGGGGCCCGGGGGGGGGGGGTTCCAAGCTTGTGGGGGCCCGGGGGGGGGGGGGGTTCCAAGCTTGTGTGTGGGGCCCGGGGGGGGGTTCCAAGCTTGTGTGGGGCCCGGGGGGGGGGTTCCAAGCTTGTGTGGGGCCCGGGGGGGGGGGGGGGGGTTCCAAGCTTGTGTGGGGGGGGGGGTTCCAAGCTTGTGTGGGGCCCGGGGGGGGGGGGGGGGGTTCCAAGCTTGTGTGGGGCCCAGGGGGGGGGGGGTTCCAAGCTTGTGTGGGGCTCCGGGGGGGGGGTTCCAAGCTTGTGTGGGCCCGGGGGGGGGGTTCCAAGCTTTGTGTGGGGCCCGGGGGTTTTCTTCAATTATAGAAGCTGCTGTGATGCGTATTCCTGCGTTTTTGGGTTTGTAAAGCCAGCTTGTTCACACGGCGGTTTTGCAGAGACAGATCTGTGGCGCTCAGAGTATTTGCAGAGCAAAAGGAACATTTTTCTACTGCAAATTACCCGGGAGACTGGAAACCAGTTCTTTGGCCCAGACGCCATTGAATTGTAGTATTAATTCTCCAATACAATAAAGTCTGCAACGCTGACATCCATTGCAACAAATCTCTATTGGCTACATGGCAGGATACAGCCCTAACGCGTTTCGGCCGAAGCCTTACTCCTAGCACGTTACGGCTGTATCCTGCCATGTAGCCAATACCGACTTGTTGCAATGGATGTCCTGTTAGCTGGATTTATTGTGTTCTCGGTGTTAAAACCTTCCTGTTCTTCCAGGGCATCATTCAGGACGTTATTTTCCCTTTGATGTGCTACACGGACTCTGACGAGGAGCTGTGGCAGGAGGACCCCTATGAGTACATCCGCATGAAGTTTGGTACGGCTTTGGGGAAAAAATATATATATATGTGTTGGGGGTTTTTTTTTTTTTTTTAGTTTTTGTTGTTACGGTTGTAAGTCATACAATGAAATCATTCGGAATGCTGTGATATTTAATGCCAGTAGATGTATCTGTTTGGTTCCTAACATTGCTTGTCCTCCTTTTAGATGTATTTGAAGATTTTATCTCCCCGACCACCGCAGCTCAAACGTTGCTGTTCACGTCTTGCAGTAAAAGGAAAGAGGTACGGCCGGCCGGGATGAGCTGATAACCTGCCAGTTATGTCTCTCTAGTTCCCTGGTCTCCTCCTCCCACGCCCACCTCCAGGGTGTCGCCCATCCTCTGGAACTCCCTGCCCCAACCCATCAGATTATCACCTCCTCTCCTTTAATTGTGGTATTAATTCTCCAATACAATAAAGTCTGCAACTCTGACATCCATTGCAACAAATCTCTATTGGCTACATGGCAGGATACAGCCCTAACGTGTTTCGGCCGAAGCCTTACTCCTAGCACGTTACGGCTGTATCCTGCCATGTAGCCATGAAAACCCACCTCTTCAGGGAAGCCTACCCCACCCCCTGTTAATCTGCCGACCTCCTCCACTCTTCCTTCCACTCCATCCCCCACAGCCATCTCCTCCTGTACCACCATCCCCTCCCTCCTAGATTGTAAGCTCCAAGGATCAGGGCCCTCGATCCCCTCGTGTATCACATTGTATTGGTATTGTTCTGTCACATGTTCTGTCCCCCTCTGTAATGTACAGCGCTGAGCCAACTATCGGCGCTTTATAAATACTGTATAATAAGCAACAAAATTGACGCCGACGTCACACAAATCTGCGGCCTCGCGGTGGGGTACTGGCCTTTTTTTTCCTGCGGGGGCCGCATATTTGCGTACTTGTGTTTGTGCTGCGGCGCGCTCCCAGCGCTAGGACCGCGGTGTCACTGAGTGCCCCGGGTCCCGTTCTAACTATTGGGACCCGGGACTCTCGATTCTGGGTCACATGATCGCTGTGATTGCCTCTGATTGGCTATCACAGTGATCAGTCACTGTATAGCCCGGCCCCCTTGTTTTTTGTTTTTTTTCTATGAATGGAGGAGAGATACATTGTATCTCTAACTCAAAGCGAGAAAAAAAAGTTTGTAAAAAAAAAAGGGGGGGGGGGGATTGTGGTTTGTGGGGTTTTTGTTCTGTCTATTTGTGACCCATAGAAATGATTCCCTGTACACGGAAAGGATCTGTAACTCTTCCTGCAGTCAGACTAAAATTCACGCCTGCTTAGCGTGTTGCGTGTTGGACTTCTGTGTTTTTTAGCGAGGTTGATAATCTCTCCGGATTTGTCTTCTCAGGTGTTGCAGAAAACGATGGGATTTTGTTACCAGATTTTAACGGAACCGGCTGCAGATCCCCGCAAGAAAGATGGCGCCCTCCACATGATCGGCTCCTTAGCAGAGATTTTACTGAAGGTATGTCCGATGCGGGGCTTGGATCAGAGCGCCTGCAGGGACCGCCTCCTGAAGTCTGCCGGCGCAGTGACAGGATTGTAGTTCTCATTGAACTGGGAGGGCGCTGGTGAGCACTCTTGTAGTTCATTGGTCTTCCTGGACAGGCCACTGTACTGACAGGCTGCAGGAGCCTGACATTGCACCCGCGGCCTGCTCATCCAAGGGTGCAATGCTCTGCCGGCCCCTAAGAAAAATTAAATGCATATTTACCTACAAAAAGCAGTTTTTTTCCTCCAAACCCCCCCCCCATCTTTTAACCCCTCGCCTACTGGGCACGCTCACCCTCTTCCTGCCCAGGCCAATTTTCAGCTTTCATTGCTGTTGCACTTTTGAATAACAATTGTGCGGTCATGCAACACTGTACCCATTTGAAATTATAATTTTTTTTCACACAAATATAGCTTTCTTTTGGTGGTATTAGCTGCTGGTATGGGGTTTTTTTTTTTTTTTTTTTTTTGCGCAAAAAAAAAACAAACTAGAAGTCTTTCTATTATAAAATTTTGCAAACTGGTAACTTTTTTTTTTTTTTTTTTTTTCTCCACTGATGTGTATTGATGAAGCTGCACAGGTGGGGGCGGGGGGGCGCTGGTGGCCAACAGGTGGGGGGCGGGGCTGGTGGCCAACGGGTGGCCTGGTGGCCAACAGGTGGGGGCGGGGCGCTGGTGGCCAACAGGTGGGGGCGGGGCGCTGGTGGCCAACAGGTGGGGGCGGGGCGCTGGTGGCCAACAGGTGGGGGCGGGGCGCTGGTGGCCAACAGGTGGGGGCGGGGCGCTGGTGGCCACTGATTATCAGGGCACTGATCGCCAGTGCCCTGATCAGTGCTGGTTCTCTGCAGTACTTTCCTAACGCTCTGACAGGGTGGGGAAAGTGCAGCCCAGAACCGTCAACTGCATTTACTGGTGATCTGCTCTGTCATTGAACGCAGCTGATCACGCGGCCAAAGGCCGCCGTGATTGGCTGTTTACCGTGTCCCTTAATCAGCTGTGTTCGTAGGACACAGCGATCACCGGCGGCATCGGGTACGTGCCGCTGGGGTGCGCAGGGGCGGCGTATTCTGGAGTGACGTCAATGGACGTCGTCCCAGAACCAGACAACCGCGCTGTAGCCGTTCTTCTGCTATAGCGCGGTTGGGAAGAGGTTAAAGTGAGCTCATCCTTTAACACCAGTCATTGGTGGCGTGCGCAGTATTTGTGCTGCTGCTTTAGATTCGGCTGTGACAGGCATGGAGGGGGTGGTTGCTCGGGGGTGTGTAGGCGTACGTTTCACGTAATTCTTACAGGAAGGATCCTTATCTTTCCAGGAATAAACTTTGTGATTTTTAGAACTTGTCTATTTTTATTTCAACAGAAAAAGATCTACAAAGACCAGATGGAGTTCATGCTGCAGAATCACGTCTTTCCTCTCTTCAGCAGCGAGCTGGGCTACATGCGAGCCCGGGTAATAATTCTGTCCTTTCCCTATGCCTAGCGGCACACCGCAAGCCTTTAATAGAATTTCACTGTGTTTGGATTGTAAGATATTCTCTACGGCGTTCATTTACAGGATTTGTAGAATATTGTAATTGTATCCTTCAGACAAGCCTTCCTATTGACTGTCTGTTTGTTTTTGGGTTTTTTTGTTTTTTTTTTATTTTTTTTTTTCTATAGAGCTGTAGAGCTGTACAATCACACTGACTAAAAGCTAGTTTATTGGTTCTTTTATTTACAAATTCCTCCTGTTTTCTGATTGGATCTCAACCCAAATCTGGGCCTTTTTTTTTTTTTTTTTTTTTTTTTTTTTTTTTTTTTTTTTGTAGAAATTTTCAGCCAGCATTAAAAATGAGAAGCATCTCATCACAAATCGCTGGTTCTAGTTTTGCATGTTCTCCCTGTGCCTGCGTGGGTTTCCTCCCCACACTCCAAAGACATGCTGGGAGGTTAATTGGCTCCCGTCTAAATTGGCCCTTGTATGTGAGTTAGGGACCTTAGTTTGTACGCTCCTCGGGGGCGGGGACTGATGTGAATGTACAATATATATGTAAAGCGCTGCGTATAGAAGCAACTGAAATATAATAATCTAGAGCATGGTACAGAGGTTATGTCAGGGCCTGTTTCCGCTCACAAGATCAAAATAGGTCCCTGTGCTTCATATGACATATGGGGGGGGGGGGGGGGGGGGAGTAAAATATATGAAGCCTGGTATCTGCTGAGAGGAAGGGGGTGTTATGTTTTTGCCCTCTTCCCTGACCTAACCTATCCCCCACCCTCCTGCAGATAAATACTTTCCTCCGGTTGATGGCCATGGTTCTGCTGTCTGTTTTCATCCAGCACCTCATATCTTCACTGTCCTGCCTGTGCCTTTTCTCCATAGACTTCTATGGGACCATCTCTGGCCTCATACCACTTCACCCATAGGAGTCTGTTGAGCTCAGAAGTGCAGGCGTAACCAAGGAGAGTGAAGACTTGCGGCACTGGGTGTAATGGAACTGCAACCTATGAAAAACACGTATGTTGGTGTCTGCTGAATGTGGCGGCGGTGCCGTGTGCACAGTGCCCGTCTGTGTCTGGGGGAGCAGTGTGTCGGTGTGCTGCTGCTGGCTCTCTGCTCCTCTCACACAAATCCCGCTGCCAGAGATAAATGTGAGATCATAGTACTGGTCTAGTGACGTCTGCTGGACACCCCAACCGCTGGCCAGCCTCCAAACTCTCACACATCTGTTTTTCCCATATCTGTGTATTACCAACATCTATATGGGGTCTATGGGTCATCACAAAGCCCATCTGTATATTACCAACATCTATATGGGGTCTATGGGTCATCACAAAGCACATCTGTGTATTACCAACATCTACATGGGGTCTATGGGTCATCACAAAGCCCACATGTGTATTACCAACATCTCTATATGGGGTCTATGGGTCATCACAAAGCCCATCTGTGTAACCCAACATCTATATGGGGTCTATGGGTCATCACAAAGCCCATCTGTGTAACCCAACATCTATATGGGGTCTATGGGTCATCACAAAGCCCATCTGTGTATTACCAACATCTATATGGGGTCTATGGGTCATCACAAAGCCCATCTGTGTATTACCAACATCTACATGGGGTCTATGGGTCATCACACAGCCCATCTGTATATTACCAACATCTATATGGGGTCTATGGGTCATCACAAAGCCCATCTGTGTAACCCCAACATCTATATGGGGTCTATGGGTCATCACAAAGCCCACATGTGTATTACCAACATCTATATGGGGTCTATGGGTCATCACAAAGCCCACATGTGTATTACCAACATCTATATGGGGTCTATGGGTCATCACAAAGCCCATCTGTATATTACCAACATCTATATGGGGTCTATGGGTCATCACAAAGCCCACATGTGTATTACCAACATCTATATGGGGTCTATGGGTCATCACACAGCCCATCTGTGTAACCCCAACATCTATATAGGGCCTATGGGTCATCACAAAGCCCATCTGTGTAACCCCAACATCTATATGGGGTCTATGGGTCATCACACAGCCCATCTGTGTAACCCAACATCTATATGGGGTCTATGGGTCATCACAAAGCCCACATGTGTATTACCAACATCTATATGGGGTCTATGGGTCATCACAAAGCCCATCTGTATATATTACCAACATCTATATGGGGTCTATGGGTCATCACAAAGCCCATCTGTATATTACCAACATCTATATGGGGTCTATGGGTCATCACAAAGCCCATCTGTATATTACCAACATCTATATGGGGTCTTTGGGTCGTCTCTGAAATCACGACATTTGTAAACACTTTGCTTCAGCCAAGACCTGTTCTCTGTCCTCGTCCAGCCATTTTAATACTTGGCCTCTGTTCCTTTCGCAGGCCTGCTGGGTCCTTCACTACTTCTGTGAAGTGAAGTTCAAGATTGACCAGAACCTGCAGACAGCCTTGGAGCTGACCCGGAGGTGTCTCATTGATGACCGGGAGATGCCAGTGAAAGTGGAAGCTGCCATCGCGCTCCAGGTCCTAATCAGCAACCAGGAAAAAGGTATTAACCATTTTCGGGCCGCCCTATAGCAGGAATACTGCTACAGGGGGTGTGTGTGTGTGTGTGTGTGTGTGTGTGTGTGTGTGTGTGTGTGATTTTGCAGTTCTGGCTAGGGGGGGTGCACGCCATTCGCAGCTTCAGCTGTCAAGCACCACGTCCTGGCCGGTGATTGCTGTGTATCTCCAGGGGAGAGACCTGTATGTAAACAATACAGATTTCTCCCGTCGGCTCCTGCACACTGCTTTCTATGGCTCTGCATAGCTGACGTTGGATGTCCTATGTGTGGGGATTCTGCTGCACTGGTTTTTTTTTTTTTTTTTTTTTTGTTTTTTTTTAATACATTTTAGAATCGGGTGCCTTGAGGTTTTTGTGCATGATTATTAAAGGGTGTTTTGACTGAAACACTGAGAGACATTGAGAAATAAATCTTCACCCCCCACAAGTTCTACGGTGACACTGTACTGCTAGGGTGACAGTATGTTAAAAAAAAACAAATAGTATAAAAAATAAAATAACGTAAAAAAATTTACCAAAATTATAATTTTTGCTTAACTAATTTTGTGTGTGGTGTTTTTTTTTTTTTTTTTTTTTCTTCTAAAAATAACTACATTTTGCCTAAGATTAATGAAAGATTGATTTGAAAAGTTTTATAAAACACTTTTTTCTAAATTTTTTTTTTAACTTTTTCATTTTATATAGCATAAAAAAAATAAAAATCCCAGTGGTGAATAAATACCACCAAAATAAAAGTTGTGTTTTTTTTTTTTTTTTTTTTTTTTTTTTTTTTTTTTTTTTTTTTTTATATATCTATCTCAAAAAAATGCCAAAAAAATTAATATGCTTATGGTGTTGCATGACCGTGCAATTGTCATTCAAAGTGTGATAGCGCTGAAAATTTGGCCTGGACAAGAAGGGGGGGTAAAAGTGTCCGGACTTGAAGTAGTTAAAGACTGCTCCCCATTAAGGATTGGCACCTTGTGGGGGGGGGGGGGGGGAGCGGGTACCTGAAACTGACAGGTACCTGCTCCCATTTTCGTTGCGATCGCCTAGCCGATCAGAAGTGGAAGATGTTGTCCTACCCTCCCTCCCTCCCCATAGTCTTCTGAGACGTGTGACCATTCCCAGAAGACTACGGGGCCATTCGGGAAGCGCAGCGCTACTCGTGCATGCGCAACGGGAACCCAGCTGTCAAGCCGCAAGCTGTCCAAGCCGGCTGCCCACACTGAGGATGCCGGCACTTGGAACACCAGACTGCTGGTGAAACGGGCTGTGGGGAGGACACCGCAGGACCGAGGGACAGGTGAGTGGCTGGTGAAACGGGCTGTGCGGAGGACACTGCAGGACCGAGGGACAGGTGAGTGGCTGGTGAAACGGGCTGTGGGGAGGACACCGCAGGACCGAGGGACAGGTGAGTGGCTGGTGAAACGGGCTGTGGGGAGGACACTGCAGGACCGAGGGACAGGTGAGTGGCTGGTGAAACGGGCTGTGGGGAGGACACCGCAGGACCGAGGGACAGGTGAGTGGCTGGTGAAACGGGCTTGTGAGTGGCTTTTTTTTGTTTTTTTTTTTTTTTAGTCATCAGCTACAGTTTTTGTAGCTGCTGACTTTTATTTATTTTTTTAAATTGTGACTGGAACTCCGCTTTTAATTTTCTACTGCATAGTTTTAAATCCGTGTCCTTTTTTTTTTTTTGTCCCATTTTTCAGCCAAGGAGTACATAGCGCCCTTCATCCGGCCGGTCATGCAGGCTTTGCTGCATATAATCAGGGAGACAGAAAATGACGACCTCACCAACGTGATTCAGAAGATGATCTGTGAATACAGCGAGGAGGTCACGCCCATCGCGGTGGAAATGACGCAGCATTTAGTGAGTTGAGAACGCTGTATTGCAGTGCTGTGTGTAATGGGATTTTTGTTTTTGACGTGAATGGGACCAGTTCAGTGTAAATATTACCATGTTGAGTTTTGCCCCAAGCCAGATTAAATGGATGCGGTGTGTTTTTTTTTTTTTTTTTTTTTTTTTTTTTTTTTTTTTGGGGCTTTTTTTGAGATTGGGCAAGAACACAGGGGCCCTGTGATCCCCTATTGCCCGGGGGCCCCATGAGTTGTCAGTCCGCCCCTGTTCACATGCACACTAGTGGTGCACTAAAATGAAAATTCTGGTACCGAAACCAAAAATTTAAAATGCACTTGGCCGAAAACTGAAATGCACAGGTTTTAAAAGTGAATATATATTTTGGAAAAAGAATACTGATTAAAAAAATTTTTTTTTTTTTTTTTTTTTTTGTGTGTGTGTGAAATATGAAAGCGGATGTTACGTTAAGTAAATAGATACCCAACATGTCACGCTTTACAATTGCGCACGCTCGTGGAATGGCGTGAAACTGCTTAAAATCTCCATGGGTGAGACCCCACATTTCTCCTCTGCAATGTAAAGCATTGATCTAGTACTTTTATAATAAAAAAAATGGCCGGAGCGGGAAGTGACATCGTTCCGGTCCTCCAAGGGCATAGAGGTGAGTGGCGGCCATCTTTCCTTCACTCATCTCTATGCCCAGTGCCGGGATCAATTGGTTTCTCAGGTAAGGCTGAGAACTACCGAGCAGCGAGGGATGGCGGGCAGACAGCGGTGAGGGGCGGGGTTTTTTTTGTGTGGGGTTTTTTTTTTTTTTTTTTTTTTCTGCACCTGTATTGGTGCTTTTTTTTCCATTTCGGCCAACAGCTGAAAAGGGGCGTTTTCGGGCGAAAACACCATCATTACTAGGGTCTGCTTAGGTATGCAGCGGTTTCTTGTTTTTAATGTAGACTTCTCATTGGACGAGTCACTTTTTCACGCCGGTAATCCTGAGCCACCAGCAGGGCGCTGCACCTCCAGCTTGGAGCAGCACTACTTGCACACATGGTCTCATTGTTGGTGGAATCAGGTGACCTTCTTTCCCGTACCTAGAAGTATCTGGTTTTCTCTCCAGCTCAGGATAAACTAGTACCGGGCCAATATACTTCAGAAGGATCTTCGCTATCCTTCACACAATTGTTTGAGATGTCACGTTAACTGCCTGAGCTCCTCCTACCGGTGCCCATCTTTCCTCCATTCTACGCGTTTCATAAATTATGGTCACGCCCACTAGAGGATGAAATGCATCGAAGGAAGCTCCGGTGCATGTATCTAGTATATTTGGCTGGTGGGGATGGACCGGAATGGAGTCGGTTCCCAAAGGTTGAGACGCTATTGCAGAGACCTGGAGCTGAGAATTCTGGGAATTTGTTTTTTGAGGCGCACAGGATCACTGGTGTAGCAAGTATAACCGGGGCACATGTCTGTTTTTATAAACGCACCAAATGGGGGAAAAGTAAGTGTCTCTCCTCCTAAACCCGTGTTTCAATTCACCTATGTGACGCTATCCCCGGACTGGTCCTTTGTGCATTTTCGGCGGCAGTGCAGTGTGCGCAGTGTCAGTCTGTGTCTGGTGGAGCCGGGGTGTTGGCGTGCTGCTACCTCCCCGCTCCGCTCACACTAAATCCTGCAGCCGGAGATAACCGTGAGATCATAGTACTGGTCTAGTGCCGTCTGTTTGGACGCTTCCACCGCTGGCCAGCCTCCAAATTCTCACACATTTGATTCCTTGGGCGCTCAGTTTGCGGTTTGGATCTACAGAGCTGGAATGGAACTTCAGCACTTCCTGTCACAGAAATGTTCGATCTCTGTGTTGGCAGCATCGAGGGCTGTCTGTGTTCAGCATTTAATTAGCATTTTTTCTTTTTCCAGGCGATGACGTTTAATCAAGTCATTCAGGCGGGTTCAGATGAAGAGGGCAGCGATGACAAAGCGGTGACGGCAATGGGAATCCTCAATACTATAGATACGTTACTCAGTGTGGTAGAGGATCATAAAGAGGTGAGAGCGGTGTGACGTCATCCCCTCCATTGTGGATGATCCTTCATCGTACAGTATGATGCGAGGTCCCCCTCCATTGTGGGATGATCCTTCATCGTACTGTATGATGCGAGGTCCTCCCCTCCATTGTGGATGATCCTTCATCGTACAGTATGATGTGAGGTCCTCCCCTCCATTGTGGATGATCCTTCATCGTACAGTATGATGTGAGGTCCTCCCTCCATTGTGGATGATCCTTCATCATACTGTATGATGCGAGGTCATCCCCTCCATTGTGGATGATCCTTCATCGTACAGTATGATGCGAGGTCCTCCCCTCCATTGTGGATGATCCTTCATCGTACAGTATGATGTGAGGTCCTCTCTCCATTCAGGGGAATTGCAGGATCATCCACACAGTATGTGAGGTCCTCCCCTCCATTGTGGATGATCCTGAATTCCCTCACAGTATGATGAGGTCCTCCTCCATTACGCTTGGTTCACATACACTATATTGCCAAAAGTATTGCTGACCTTTCCACACACATGACCTTTAATGGCCCCCAGTCTTAGTCCGTAGGGTTCAATATTGAGTTGTCCCCGCCCTTTGCAGCTATAACAGCTTCAGCTCTTCTGGGAAGGCCGTCCACAAGGTTTAGGAGGGTGTCTATGGGAAGGTTGGACCATTCTTCCAGAAGCACATTTGTCAGGTCAGGCACTGATGTCGGGGGAGGAGGCCTGGCTCGCAGTCTCCGCTCTAATTCATCCCAAAGGTGTTCTATGGGGTTGAGGTCAGGACTCTGTGCAGGCCAGTCAAGTTCCTCCACCCCAAACTGGCTCCTCCATGTCTTTATGGACCTTGCTTTGTGCACTGGTGGGCAGTCATGTTGGAAACAGGAAGATGGGGCCATCCCCAAACTCCTCCCACAAAGTTGGGAGCATGAAATTGTCCAAAATGTGGCCTGAAGAGTTCCTTTCACTGGAACTAGGGTCAATCCCAACCCCTGAAAACCCCCCCCCCCCCCCCCCATAATCCACCCTCCCACCAAACTTTACACTTGGCACAATGCAGTCAGGTAAGTACCGTTCTCCTGGCCACCGCCAAACCCAGACACGTCCATCGGATTGCCAGGCAGAAGCGTGATTGGTCCCTCCAGAGAACACATCTCCTCTGCTCTAGAGTCCAGTGGCGGCGTGCTTTACACCACGGCATCCGACGCTTTGCATTGCACTTGGTGATGGAAGGCTTGGATGCAGCTGCTCGGCCATGGAAACCCATTCCATGAAGCTCTCTACGCACTGTTGTTGGGCTCATCTGAAGGCCACACCAAGTTTGGAGGTCTTTAGCTATTGACTCTGCAGACGGTGACTTGTGCGCTTCAGCATGCGCTGACCCCGCCCTGTCATGTGACGTGGCCTACCACTTGGTGGCTGAGTTGCTGGTGTTCCCAGTGGCTTCCACTTTGTTATAATCCCACTAACAGTTGAGCGTGGAATATTTAGTAGCCAGGAAATGTCACGGATGGACTTATTGCCCAGGTGGCCACCTATCACGGGACCATGCTTGGAGTCACTGAGCTCCTGAGAGCGACCCATTCTTTCACCAATGTTTGTAGAAGCCGTCTGCATGCCTAGGGGCTTGATTGTGTACACCTGTGTCCATGGAGGGGATTGGAACACCTGAATCACATGATATGGGAGGGGATTGGGACACCTGAATCACATGATTGGGACACCTGAATCACATGATTGGGGACACCTGAATCACATGATTGGGACACCTGAATCACATGATTGGGACACCTGAATCACATGATTGGGACACCTGAATCACATGATTGGGACACCTGGGCATGAGGGACAATGAACATTTTGGCAATATAGTGTATGTCCAGGTAGGGTTTCCTTTCAATATAGTGTATGTATATATTTTTTTTTTTTTTTTTTAATTTTAAATTGAACCAATGAATGAAACTGCACTGGACTAAGCGTGAATTTACAATGTTTAACACTTCTCTGAGCCAGACTGCGGCTGGCCCGGACCATATGTGAATCTGCCCCATAGAAAGCCGGTTTGGTTCACATGGATGCATTTTGAACTGCATACAAATCGCATGACAATTCTCCAGTGTTTAACCTAGCCCAATGGTGATCCTGCACTCCTATGTGACATCTCCCCCAATGGCTGATCCTGCATTCCTCCATAGTATGTGACTCCATATTAAAATCTCTATACCATGAAGGAACACAGGATCCTCCATACTAGAGATTTCAATATGGAGTCACATAATATGTAGGAATTCAGGATCATCCATTGTGGGGGAGATGTCACATTAAACCATGAAGGAACCAGGATCCGCCATACTAATATGATCTCCTCCAGTATGGATGATCCTGCACTGTCCGTAGTGAAATGCATTTCATGATTTTGGTGCAAAAACTGAATGAATTTCATAAAGACCTTGTAGCGGCTGTGTCAAGAAAAAAGCCATTTTGTGTGAATTTTTCATAGATAATATATAGACCTTGTGATGTTTTTATACAGATCACTCAACAGCTGGAAGGAATCTGCCTGCAGGTCATCGGAACGGTCCTACAGCAACATGTTCTAGGTGAGTGCGGGGGTGATTTTTAGATGGCTAGGTGATAGGTTGGAGCTGCTCTGGGCAGAGCTTTTTCTGGCAAAGGTTAGTTCTAGGTTCTTGTGGCTACTCCAAAAAGTTTTAAGGAGGCCAAGAGGATTCTATTTTGTGCGGGGGCGATGGGCTGGAGGACATGGTTGATGGGGTGAAAGGGTGGCTCCTGGGTGTGGTTCAGCAGGTGACTGGTGGGGCGGAGAGTTGGCGCTTCTTTGGTGGGGGGGCGGAGAGTTGGCGCTTCTTTGGTGGGGGGCGGAGAGTTGGCGCCATCTTTGGTGGGGTGGGGGCTTCTTGGGCGGGAGAGTGGGCGCCATCTTTGGTGGGGGCGGAGAGTGGGCGCCATCTTTGGTGGGGGCGGGGAGAGTGGGCGCTCATCTTTTGGGGGGGGCGGGAGAGTTGGGCGCCATCTTTGGGGGGGTGCGGAGCGGTGGGCGCTTCTTTGGTGGGGGCGAGAGAGTGGGCGCCATCTTTGGTGGGGGCGGAGAGTGGGCGCCGTCTTTGGTGGGGGCGGAGAGTGGGCGCCGTCTTTGGTGGGGGCGGGAGAGTGGGCGCCGTCTTTGGTGGGGGGCGGAGAGTGGGCGCCGTCTTTGGTGGGGGGGCGGAGAGTGGGCGCCGTCTTTGGTGGGGGGGGAGCTTATTCTTGGGCGGGAGAGTGGCGCCTTCTTGGCGGGAGAGTTGGGCGTTCTTTTGGTGGGGGCGGAGAGTGGGCGCCGTCTTTGGTGGGGGGCGGGAGAGTGGGCGCCGTCTTTGGTGGGGGGGCGGAGGAGAGTTGGGCGCTTCGTCTTTGGTGGGGGCGGAGAGTTGGGCGCCGTCTTTGGTGGGGGCGGAGAGAGTGGGCGCCGTCTTTGGTGGGGGCGGAGAGTTGGGCGCCGTCTTTGGTGGTGGGGGGGCGGAGAGTGGGCGCCGTTCTTTGGTGGGGGGGCGGAGAGTGGGCGCCGTCTTTGGTGGGGGCGGCGGGAGTGGGCGCCGTCTTTGGTGGGGGCGGGAGAGTGGGGCCGTCTTTGGTGGGGGCGGAGAGTGGGCGCCGTCT